AAGAGATATCCACCTTGTGAAGAGACATGTTTATTGAACATGTCTAAATGATCATGTGTTTGATCATTCAAATCCGACCAAAAACCATGTTTGCAGAATTCAAAAGTCCAAAGTTCACAACTATTAATTACATAAACAAGATTTCCACTTCTTTATCATTGTTTTGACCATTTTACCGGATGGACCTTAAGCTTTGAACACTCAATCAAATGGTCATGATTTGCATGTCTTAATCATGCTTTTCATCACTTAATTTCACACATTGTATGGATTAATCATACTAGTTCTTTTTTAATTTAATCATGATATTTCAAGGACTAAGTTTCCTTTTTGTTAAGCCCATATGCATTATTTACTAAAGGTGTTCATATCCGATCCAATCTGATTGATCCGACCTAAACTAATCCAATCCAATAGAAAACCGATCCAAACCAATATAAAATTGGATTTCTTTGAATTCTAAAATCTTAAAACCAATATAATTGGTTTGGTTCGTGATTTTACCTTCAAACTGCCTGAACTGCCCAATTACAAAATAAAATCCGATTAGAAGATAATTTAATTAAATAATATAACATTTTTTTTTGTAGTATTTTAAATTTTCTTTTTTGTTTTATTTTGCAAGATTATAACTCCATTAACTTAATTAAAAAAATAAAAATAGAACATCTCCGTATTCCCTAAGTTATTTCTCCATTTTAATCATGCATTCTAATCTTAATTCTAAATTTCTAATTCACCTACAACTCTATCATCTCAGAAGTGGTTTGCGCATTTATTCTTAGAACCATAAATTTCTAATTTATTTTTAAAATAATCTTATGATTCTCCTAACTAAATTTTAAATAAGTATCATTCTAAAAACTTAAAACTATATAATAAAATTAGTCTTAATATGCTATTATTTTTGGATATTTGGTTTAGAAGTTTTAAATTTTGATTATGAATGTTTCTAATCAATTTTAGTAATATTCATGTTAAATGTTATTCACTTTTAATAAAATTTAAAAAATTGGATTAAATTATTAATGCATTAGGAAAAAAATTTAATTTTAATCTTCAAGAATTATTTATGTTGTACTAAAAATTTGAAGTTCTTTTTTATTGTTTTTGGTGCCTCTAATGATATAACCAAGAAGAATTTTCAAAGCTTTTCAATTTTTACAAATGTAAAGGAGTATAAGAATTTGTTTATAATTTTTACCTATTATTATGTTTTTACTAATTTGGATGTTAATATATTTTATAGTTATACTTTCTATTTGATGTTAAAATATTTTTACATTATCTTACATATTTAATAATGTTAAAAACTGATCAATCAATCCGACCGAACCACACCGATTCAATTTAAATTGGATTGGTTTGATTATCATATAATAATGGATTGAATTGGTTTAAAAATTTTATTAATCGATTAAATTAGATTAGTTTAAAAAATAGTAAAATCCAAACCAAATCACACCACGAACACCACTATTGTCTACTTTAAAAGCAACACTTTTGGACTATCCAACATCTAAGGAACAATTAAAATATAGAATAGTACTCTAAAACACCATTCTTCAAGAAATAATATGAAAATAAAATATTTCATTAGTTAATGGGATGAGTTTTGTTTTAGAAATACGTGCTAAAAACACATATAACAAAAGGGTTTAACGAAATCTAAAAAATGATAAAGTTTTTTTAATTTGAATTTTTTTTATATTTATACCTACATCACAATTAGTAAAGTATAAATACATATATTCTAGAGTCCTAATTAAAAATCCCCTCCCCATAAATATAAAATAGCTTTATCATGTTGTTCCTAAAGAAATAACTCCTAAATATCTAATTTAGTATAATTATTTGAATTTAAAATTTTCAAAAAAACATATTTACAAGAACCCAAATATTTAAATTTCATCTGACAATGAGTCAATATTCTTTTAATTATCCTAACCAAATGCTTGAACTTGTCAAGTTTACCATGCAAGGAATTCATAGATGTAGATTATTGACATTGCTAACAAACTCAATTAAATGGATCCATGCTTTGCTTATGTGTACTATATATATATTTTTTAACAACAAAGGAAAATATTTTTGTCACACACGACATAAAGTTTACAAAATGTACTCTAACTTATTACAGAATAATTATTGACAATAAGTAACAATGCTTTATACCCTCCATTGGATCAATAGTGTATTGGATTTTGTTAACTCTCTTGATGTAATGAATTTTTTTTTTAATCAACAAAACAAAAAACAATTTATTATAAGGAGTACAAGGGGTACTCCAACCCATATACAAAGCTAAAATGTTAATTCAATTATTTAACAAATCAATCCAATAGCAAGAAATAACCAAGTACAGAAACCCACCATTACCAACCAAAATCAACAACCCATGTATCCTTTCCTACAAAACTCATGCATAACCTTGATGTTGCCTATGAAGCCTCTTCAGAAGCCTCTTCAGAAGCCTCTTGTATCTTTTCACAGCTAAAACACATTCAATTGGATTCACCTTCCGCTTATCAAAAGAAAAAACACAACCATTCACCTTATTTTTAATCTAAAAAAATGACTTAATTTGTACCATATCCAACAATTGCTCCCAATACTCCCGTCATTCTTAAATGCACAAGTACTCCTCCAATAGTATAAGTACCATGCAACAACAAGAAAGATATATGCAACCATCTCCTTCCCTATAATTCTACCCAAACCATGCAAGAAAAATTCCGCCACTCCCCTAACTATATTCAACAACATAGTTTCCATTCCCTACCAATGTAGCACCTTTACCCAAACTAACCAAGCTTCCTAACACATACAAAATAAATGGTTAACCACCTCTACCACCTCATGACACAAACCACACAATAATCCCTCCTCCTATAGAAACACCCCTCTTTTTTGTAAATTTCATTTTGTTGGAAGCCTATCAAGACATAACCTTAATTCACCCAAAAAAGCCAACTTTTGAAGGCATTAACCTACACCAAATTAACTTTTGCCATAATGAATAGTAAAAAACAAGGAGAAATTTACTTATCAAATAAAAAATATTAAATATTAAGATATAATTTGTGTATTTGTTATAAATACATTTTTTATTAGAAATGTTCAACTTATTTGATTTAAATTTGCTATTTTTATTTTTCTTGAATTAGAAAAATTTGAAGTTTTCGTAAGTTTTGTCAAGTCAATTACATATATAATATCACTTGTAAGCCATTTAGAATTAGGTTAAATTTATTATTATCAATTTTAATACTTGAAGCTCATGTGTTTGGACAAAACTAGAGACTATTTTGGCGCCACTAAAGGCGCATAAAAATGTGGAATAATACTCAAATGCCATTTTAAAAAAAAAAAAAAAAAAAAAAAAAAAAAAAAAAAAAAAAAATAACATTTTGTTAATGAGATGAGTTTCATTTTAGAAATAGACACTCAAAACACATATAACACAAGGGTTTAACAAAATTTAAAATGAATAAAGTTTAATTAATTTGAATTATTTACTTTTGTTTAACATGGATTAAACTAGCCATATGCAAGTGGAAGAGTTAACATTAAAGTTAGTTCTTCGCCTAACTATGACAAAAGTGCAAGGCACCTACTCCACACAAGGACTTTTAACCAAAATTTGTAAAGCATTTAGAAGTTTTAAATTTAATTTGAAGAGTTCTATTAGCCAATGCAAAATGGCAAAGTGAACTAGATTTTGCAAGCTCATAACAGCAATTATCTATGACAGTTCCAACTTTAAATATGCTTAAAAAAACCTACTTCACACATTTTACATGCATCTTGCTTGCACACCTAAGTTTCTTTATAATATAATTGTTAGCGTCTTTATGAGCTATGGCTACTCCATTTGGCATAACCAAAACTAACAAAGTTGAGAAATTTTGAAGTTTGTCATAATTTAAAGATGGTAAGTTCTATTGGTCATAATTTAAAAATGGTAAATTCTCTTGGTTTAGATGATAGAGAGCTTGAGCACATTAGCCAACCAAATTAGGATTCGTATTTATATAACTCAAAAACTTCAAGTTATTACTCCATTTAAGTTACGTAAAACTAAAATTTATACAAATTAGTTAGTTTCTAGTAACTCTTTATTTATTAGTTCATAGTATCAGTCAAAAGAAATTTATGTTGGTATTTACGTAACTTTAAGACTTGAAGTTACATATATAACAATAGAAGAATATGACAAAAAATAAATATAAAGCTCAATTAATTAATTTTTTAACTTGTTACATTTGTACCTAC